GAGAAGTATGGTCAAAATATTGGTTTATACCGGGATGATGGTTTGGCTGCCCTCAATGGAACACCGCAGGAAATAGAGAATATCAAGAAAGGTTTTTGCAAAGTCTTCCGCGACAATGACTTAAAAATCACAGTCGAGGCTAACATCACCAAAACCAATTTTCTAGACGTCACGCTTGACCTCTCAAGTGGGAAGTATTACCCTTTTACTAAGGAAGGCAACATCCCCCTGTACGTGCATAAAAAATCTAACCACCCACCATCCATTCTGCGCAACATCCCTGAATCAATCAATAGGAGGCTCTCCGAGATATCTTCCGACAGGGAATGCTTCGATAGTGCTAAACCTATTTATCAAGAAGCTCTCAAAAAAAGTGGGTACAGCTACACCCTGTCATTCAACGCTGCATCAAACCAGGCACCACGTCCACGAAGAAACAGGCAGCGGAATATTACTTGGTTTAACCCACCATACAGCAAGAACGTGGAAACTAACGTCGGAAAATGCTTCCTTGCACTTATTGATAAGCATTTCACAAAAACTAATCCTCTTCACAAAATTTTCAACCGGAACACCCTTAAACTGAGCTACAGCTGCATGGGCAGCATTAAAACTGTCATATCTAACCACAACAAATCTGAAATCCGGAAACTCGCACGCGCTAATGATCGAGCTAGGAAAAGCTGCAACTGTCGAAAACCTGACATATGCCCCATGGATGGAAACTGTAACATGGAAAGCATAATTTACCAGGCAGAGGTCACCACAGAAACCGCAAAGGAAACGTACATTGGTCTCTGTGACACCGCTTTTAAAATGCGTTACAGGAACCACTTGTGTTCATTCCGAAACGAACGTTACAGGCATGCTACTGAACTTAGCAAATATATATGGAGTCTTAAAGATAAGGACACTAAGTTTAATATTAAGTGGCGCAAGGTGAAACAAGCTAGTTCGTATTCCAATGTAGCTAAAAGATGCAATTTGTGTTTGTGGGAAAAATATTTTATCATTTGTAAACCGCAGATGGCAAGTTTAAACAAAAGAAATGAGCTGACATCAGGTTGCAGACATGTCAGGAAATTCCTGTTAAAGAACGTAACGTTACGATAGCGCGTGCAGTATGTTGCGCGCGCATGTACACATTGTTTTGTCTTTTAAATTTTGGTGGATTGTAACCGTTATTTCTGGCAGTTGCCTGACGATTGCTTCGCAAGAGGCATGAAACTCAGAGTTGCAGTAAAAGTTCAAGTAACCTAAATCTTGAGGTATAATTATATATACATATATATATATATATATATATATACATGCCGCCTTTGACCGTGTCATGATGTCTGACTGCACTACTCTGACCATCTATCCTCGCCCTGAGGTTTTTCCTAATAATAGTTTTCTGAGTTTGCTAGCGACATTGAGAATGGTTTCGTCCACCTCACCAGGTGACAAGATTGGATTTCGCACCCAATGTCTACACTATGCCCCCCCCCCCTTACTCTCGTAGTCTCGCGTTTGTCAAAATTGCTGTTAAACGCTCATTCTTAAAAAGCTTTTTCATTTTCCATGTTCTAATTTCCCTCGAATGCACTCTGAATAAATCGCTAAGCGAATACATGAAGTGATAAAAATTAAACATTTGAGATTTTTCAGGAACTTGATGGAGCGCTTTTAGAACACAAGAACTTTTACTCATATTATCTTTGTGTAAGTTAGCCATTGCCGTGTACATTTTGAAAAGAAATAGAACTGTATTGTGTACATCGTTGGCGTGGAATAACAGTCGTCAAAGGCTTCGAGGGCCAGATTTTAAAAGCCATAAGATATAAAGTGGTAGCCTGGAAACCCTGAATATTCAAATTTTGCAGCATTAATGCGAAACCGAACAGCCCATATCAATTCTCCTTCATTTGAGTTAAGATTTTGTTTAATTTGCGAATTCTCACAGCTGAGTTGTGTTTATTTGAATTAAGAACATAATTTGGTGGGATCCAAAAGCCTAGTAAATAACCTTAAATTGTAGAATCCTGACCAAATGATGTAATACATCAAGACAAGCTGAACCTAATCATGGAAACAGTTGCAGTATAAGCTTTCTTACCTTGATGACAAAACCTCTCATTGCCTTGCTTGAATTAACCTTCACTTTATTTGATCCACGGCAAACTTTAATTCAATCACTGTTTTGAGTGTCTGGATTTTTCTCTTATTTCTAACTGTCAAGATCAGTGCCGGATAATGGTGTTATTAGTTATCGTGCGTCAGAAGCTGACATAATAGATGAGAGGGGAGTGAAATAAATCCCATGCTTTTCAATTTATTTACTTCAGAGCGGGCGTCGGCTAAAGTACAGGCGATACTTGCCATTTCTTTTGTTTACCTAGTGAAATATTCCATTATCCATGTAGAATTATTTTGTTAACTTCTCTTTAGCTAAAAACCCGGCGGACCATGTAAGGCCGCGGAAAGGAGGTTATGATGTTAAAAGACCTCGTCTTTTTAGTCATTACCGTGGAATTTGAAAACTAAAATGGCACGACAAGCGTACGACAAGCTAGTATCTGACATTGAAAGCTTTCAAACCGAAACTAGATTCTGTATGAAACAATGATAACCGCTGACATTTGATTCTGTATGAAACAATGATAACCGCTGACATTTGAGTAAGAACAACCGGTATGATTAACACCACTACATTAATTTTCAACACTGAATAATTTTTAATTTCAAAATTATTTTCGGATGCAAATTTTTATCTTTGAAAAAGATATTAAAAAGCTTCAGGATTAAAACTTAATTCAAACATTGAGATCAAAGGAATAAGCCATGCTGGTGGGAAAATAATCGAGGAAGGTCGCGATCAAGCCGATTATTTTTCTATAACTGATGAACTGATGCCGCAAATTTCATCTCAAATCTTTGTAATTGCCAATCATGATCTATGATTTTAGTCCACACATCAGTGGTTTTAAAACCTTAAAGTACTCGTCAACGAGTACTTTTTAAGTGCTTGATGGTGTAACTTAGAAAAAAATGACATTGATATCACGGTCTTCCACAGTATTTCCCGCGCACTATGTCAGTACCCTTAGCTTTTAGTATTTATAATTTTTTTTTTTTTACCATATGCTTTATTATGATACTCTTAAACTGTCGGCTCTTTTGACTAAAAACTAAATTACGTGATGCAATCTGGTGTGGTGATAAAGAAAATGTGACTGATATATAAGGATTTGTAACATTTCATGTACTGTTTTCGTTTTCTCTGCCATTTCGTTTACTTTTTAGACGATACTTTTGAAGTTCGGACAAGATGAGTTTAACATTTTGAAAGTTATCAATGCTGGGTCTCGTAAAAAGCTTAACTAAACGTTATGGAAATAATAAAATTATACTCAATGATGCCAGACGCTCTCAAGGGGACAGCATCATTCAACATCCAGTGACAGAAATGTAAATGATTTTCTTGTTAAAAATGAGAGAAATATCATGGAGGGCCCTTATCACTTAATGAGACGTCTTGTCGCTGAGAAAGTTAGCTGGTGAGTTTAGCAAGTAAACTGAACACGTATCTTTAAAGTTTTAGAGTTTGTATGATTTTTGATCGGCTGCAACTTATACTGGACCTTTCTGTCTCGGATGAAATTGCAATAGACTGTTCTACCGGCCAAATCATTTCGAAGTAGTAATCGGAAGGTCGTACGTTTGACTGCTATTCGAAGCGCTCGGTGTTCTTTTTCTGTTAGTATACCTGTGTCATTCATTCAGTTGAATGACATCTTCTTTCAATTCAGCCCTTGCACTCAATTTCAACTCATACATACATATCGTACATACCATACGTTGTATTCTCGATTTTGGTGGCAGTGCGACCTCCAAAATGCAGATAACTTGCCGCGTCAAAACGAGCGTCGCTTTTCACTCCTAGGTAGATTTTAAAAATGGGTTTTGGTTGAGTTTTATTTAAGTTTAATTGAAAAACACCTGTCTGAGAAACACAAAAGGTCTTACGGCGTTCAAACTGATTTCCACAAACGACTTTTGTTCGTTAAACTCGCTTCCGTCGCGCGCCATTGTGCTGCTATTTTCCGTTTGTCAACACAGATAGACAATTCTTTGAGACCATTTGCGCTCTAGCGGGCGGAATACTCTACGAAAACTCTCCTCTTTGATCAGCTGCATTGTACAAAATACAAATCTAGTAGTAAAGTAAACACTTTGCGAGTTAAATAAATGGTAACAAGTGGGGAAAATAGAGCGGAAAACTTAGACCAGCCACCTCCGCTTTTTCATTTATAATAATGCCATGATGTCTTCTAGTTTATCCTCTATTCTTCCTCCAGAATACTTAAAGAAATGAAGACGGACAGATGAATTCAGTGATATTTAAATGGCCAAGCCTAATATTCATCCCGTAAAACTTGTTTTGTAAAATGTCTTGGTTACTGTTTGAACTTCCTTTGGTTATCTCACAAGAAAAACAGTCCAATCCACGCCTTTATAAAGTAAACACTTAGCGTTGTGAGCTGTGGTCTGCAAGGCTGGGAATTTCCGTCTATTCATAGCCTGTTTGTCCTATCTATACACTGTTTTTCACTCGCCTTGTTTTGGTTTCCGTCTAGCTTTGAAATGCTTTGGTCTAACAAACAACAAACTTTCCAAGGTTTGGTTACTTAATTAAAAAGTAACTGAATCGCCAACTCATTGAGTTTGTACACGCCACCCTAATCATAGTTTGGCTTGAGGTAAAACAAAACAAAAAACGCTTTCGTGTATGCACAAGATACACAATATAACTGACGCTAGCCATTAATTTTATTTCTTACTGGTTTGAATTAAAAAACAAAAATACACAAACTACACAAGAAACGAGACTTACAACGCCATTAGACTGTAGGGGAAAGCCCTTCGTCCCTCGTTTTGGGAAGAACTGTGTTAAAATCTATTTTAAAACGGAAAGCTTTTTTTTTAAAGAAAAAAATGAGGCTGAATTATTTTTCAGACAAATTTTGAACGTTTTTGATCACAAGTGGTATACAAAGCAATTGATAAATGATGAGAACACATATCAAGGATTTAAGAACTTTGTTTGTTTTATTTTTTGCCACCACTCTACAATCCTCTGTTTGAAATTTTTTCTGCAAAGTGGGGTTGCACCGAAATCGAAGTGGAAGTAATGCTTCATTGTTTCCATCACTGCGGTTTGAGTAAACCAAGCGACAGACTTTCAGTGAAAGTCAAACAAATAGTGTGGCCCTCTCTATAGAATACGCGAGCCCTAAAGGGCTTTAGGAACAGTATAACGATAATCTTGGGCGGACGTGTTCAGATACTTTGCGTGAAATTCGCCCTTATGCAAGTAAAGCGTTCTTTTCCCTTTGCAGTCTTCCCTTGCCTCCCTACTTCCCCCCACACTCCTCCTTCGCTGTAAGCATTTATTGGGGAGAGGAGAAGGGTTTCATGTAAAATAATTGTGAACTTTGGATTTTTGCATTTACTTTTTTAAGGGTGCTTGGATTGAAGTTATGATAGTGAAGGGGCCCAGCTGTTGGAAGTCATTGCTAATCTATGCTTACCTGCCACAGCTGTGCGTAGTATCCGCATGCAGTTAACCCAGAATAAGTAACATTCTGGTTTCAAATAACCCATGCAGCTCTCAAATTCGGGCATCAAGGAATGGTTTCTTTTATGACGTCCATTGTTTTGGCTTACACAGCTGAAGTAAACAAAAAACGGAAATACTCCTGTAAACTTACTGCCTTTTCTCTAGTGCCTCAGGTGAGGGTCTCCAATAACGATTGGGTAGAAAATTTCACCATTTCCTGAGAATGAAGAAGGAAGAAAGTATTGTCAACAGATCGATGAAGTCTTTTGGCAACCTGACCTTGAAAATATTTTTCGGAAATATAAATCTCGTTGTTTTATTGATAACAAAGTCGAAAAAATAATTTTCGCATCTATTTTAGTTATTTTTTTTTATAAATTTTCGAAGATTCCAAAAACTGGCCTCTTTTATGCTCACGACCGAGAAATAGGGGGAATGGGGCGAGTTGACTCATGACATAATTCTGTAGTTCTTTCTCGACATTTTTTCATATCAGTTAGTGCGAAAGCAGTCGTACTTCAACCAAGGAAAGAACTATAGAATTATGCCCGAATGGTATGCTGGAGGCTGCGGTAATACAACTTCCTTAGCTAGAAGATGGTTCACTCTTCATACCATCCCGTATTAGCAAGACAACCGCCCTAAAGAAACGCTGAAGAAAATAGGTCGATTTCTCTTGAACGTGTTGACGAACCGGCGTGACTCCTGCCCGTGTTTTAAAATCTTCCCTTTAAGTTTAGCTCTGACCAGGAAATCTTTTAATGACCGTTTCCTTTTCGATATTGGGTTGCTCCTAAAATGTTGCTCTTAAATGCAGTTGATTTTGATTAAGGTTCTCTTTCTCAATCATTGTGTTCGTGAAGTTAGGTAAAGCCAAATGATGTCGTGTTACAAAAGGCAATATTCTCCTCTGTGTCCTATTTTCTGAGTGACCTTTGTCTCAGTAAAATTCTACTCTTCGAGAGTATTTGGAAACCTGTTCGTTTTTATTATACGTGAAGCGTGAGAAATTTGTTCTTAGGAATCGTAGCGCTTCTTCTTTTACGAATCCTTTCTTTACGCCTGGAGGATGACGCGAATAAAAAGTTGCGTATTGGAAGGTCTCTTTGTAATGCATTTGTGCGTCAAGGGTCGATTCCCTCTGTCAATCTCTGTGCTGCTTGCGTGACTCAACCTCTTATCCTTCTACCTTAGTCTGTTTTCGTTTGCGATTTTTAACCGCTTCTCTTTTGATTTGGGTTGCGTTTCACCGTTGTAAATGCACACGTACAAGATTCAACTTCTCTATTCCCCTTTCACAAGAAGCTTGTAGACTTCGTTCAGTTTAGCTCTCGATTCCGTGACTAATTTTTTTACAGCACCCCCTTTTAAATAGATTGAATTTTTGGCCACTAGTTCGAAGTTCTTTGAAAGTTTTATCTTGTTTCTCTTTCTAGTTTTGCTTGCTCTTGTTTTCTGAGCTTTCAGTTTCATCATCAGGAGGAACATTGCGGTGTTTAAATATGATGTGTTATCACACGATTGCTTCGGGGAATCCAAAGTACAAAGCAAGACTTAGAACATTGTTGCAATCCTCATAGATGTTAATTATGGTAAAGTAGTTTAATAACATTTCTCAGTCTTCCTAGTTTTTACTTGCACTAGTTTTCTGAGCTTTGTTTAAGTCTCTCAAAGCGCTGTGGTGAAATTTCACCAGCGCTCCGACAAGGTAATGCTCTCCCGTCTGCTTTCGTTCTAACCAGGCTTAGATGTCTGATTTAAAATCTTTATCAATCGTGATGTTCTGTCTCATTCGTGTCAAGAATCTAAGGCTTCGAAACTGGCCGTTTATCTTGATAACCATAATCAAACAATTGCAACAGAATGGTTTAAAAAACGAATTTACTACTGGATTCGATAGCACCTGAGCAATAATACTAAAACAATTATTCACCGAAGGCGAAGTGAATATTGTTGAATAACTGTTGAATACTGTATCTTCCAGTAGCAACAAGCATGCTAATATAAATTTAGTTCAAGGGCAATTTAGAGGTTCTTTCGACTTTACGTGTTTCTATAGTTATGGCTGTTACTTTCTCTTCAATTTTTAAGGGGGGGGGGCGTGTGAGGAAAGAATTTCTCTCATCTATATTTGACTTACTTTATTTGAGCATTTTGTAATGACATGAATTTTTGCGTGGCAATAGTCCATTTTACAGTTCTGTGCTTGGTTGTCAAGCCTTTGATTGGGAGTGAGGCTAGAGATGACCTTGTTATGATACAAACCTTGCTGCCTTTCAAATGTAAATCACTTTGTTATCATGCTAACTAGATACAGGTCTCTATCACAACAAGGTCATCTTTAGCCTCACTCTGAATCAAAGGCTTGGCAACTAAGTACACAACTGTAAAATGGCCTATTTTATAGCGAAAATGGTGTTTGTTATTCGAGAAAAGATTTCTAGGTGATGAGTAAAGTAGCAGAAAAACATCATAGCTATAGCAGTGGCTACGGTCGAGGGATAGTTTGAAGTAGCATATAACGATACGTTTTTGAGGAAAGCGTTTGAGGTATTTCAAAGGGCAAACTGAGATTTCGATTAATGTAACCCTCAGTTATTGCTCTTCCTTTTACAATTAAAGCTATCGGTCACGATAAACTACCTACGATCGTATTGAAAGAATGCGCAGAGTCTCTAGCACCCTCTATAACAGCGATTATAAATTTCAGTCAGAGTCATGGCTTTCAGTTATCTGATTGGAAGAGAGCAAATGTTTCTACAATTTTTAAAAAAGGCAAGAAATATATCGTAAACAATTATCGTCCTGTGTCTCTACTACCAGTTAATTCTAAAGTCCAAGAACGTTGCGTGGCTTCGCGTCTCGTTCCACGCGTGAAGGAGTTAATATCCATTCCAACATGGTTTTCAAAAGGGAAGGTCTTGTGTCACGCAACTCTTAGAGGCTTTTTATGATATTGGTGGCGCGCTAGACCGTGGGATTGAAACTGATATTATCTATCTTGACTTTGCGAAGGCTTTTGACTCTGTATGCCCCGCTAAGCTGGTATCCACGTTATCAACCTTTGGAATCAAAGACCCTTTACTAACTTGGTTTCACTCGTATCTAACTGGGAGGAGTCAGAGAGTGGTGATAAATGGAACGTCTTTTAGATGGACCGATGTAGAGTCAGGTGTCCCACAAGGGTCACTATTGGGAACGACACTGTTCTTACTGTTTGTTAATGACATGCCTAACGTTGTTTCCAGTGCAACACTGGCTATGTTTACAGATGACTCTAAATGTTACAAGGTTACTAAACACCATTCTGATTAATTGCATCTACATCAGGATTTAGACGCGCCTTCAAATTGGCCTCTGCGAAATGAGTTGTTTTTTTAACCTACTAAGTGCAGCAATTTGAGAATTTCTAGGAAGCGCCTTAGTGTCCTCCTCGTAGCTATGTTTCAAATGGTATTAATGTGGAGGTTGTCTCAGCCGAAAAAGATCTAGGTATTATGATTGCAAATGACACCTCTTGGAAAGATCACTTAGTCATGATTGTAGCTAAAGCTAATATGATGCTTGGATTTCTCAAAAGGAACTGCGCTGCTATTGTTGGTAGTACGGCGCTTTTGCGTCTTTACTGCTCTTTAGTGCGCTATCATTTTTGTTTTTGCTCTCAGTTATGGGCCCCTCAGTCAAGAACCAGCAATTTAATCCTTGTTGAAAACATACAAAGGAGAGCCACTCGATGTATCTTAACCCTTTGCATACTAAGTGAACACATATGTCCAGATAATACGGTTACTACTTTTGATACTTGTTTCTTGTTGAACTTAAGACAAAACATTATGTAAGTGTGTAAATTGTGCCGGCTAGGTGATGTGACACCTATTGCAACCTAAAACACCCACAATGATTCCTGATTTTCATTTCAGTGAACCGTCCGTATGGCAACAAATCCCAAAGTCCAGCATTTTGCTCCAAGAGCAACACCAAAAACATGCCAATCTTTTAAGATAAAAAATTGCTAAAAAAATCAAAAGTTTGCGTTCAAATCACACCTCTGGGCCAGATCTTGGAGTTTGGCAAGAAAATTCCTTCTCACTTTATCTGCCAGCCCTTGTTTCTCCACTTGATGAATGCCAGTGTCGCGAACACAACCATTGCCTTGTTCATGCCCGAAAAGAGTTCTGGGTAATTCCGCCATGACTCGAAAAGGCAACTCCTATCATTTCCATTTCAAAGAATTATGAGAATCGTGTCGGGCCATCCAGTCCTACCAGCAAAATATCGCATCGATTGAAATTTTTACCTGTCAAAACTTGGCCACATAGCCTTGGTAGGTCCTGAAAGCCATCCACAGGTGGGCCCGAGAGACAAATTCACTTTTAAACTCACCAAGCTGGCAGTAAAGCATCGTTGGCGGTCCAGTCTACATGAAACCATCTCTCACCTCTGCTTTCCTTCAGAGGCTTGCCTCTACCCACATTCCAGCTTAATGATGCCGTCGTGAGGGCTTATGTAGAGGGAAAATGGCTCGAAAAACACTTATAAACGGCTAGAAAAGCGAGAAACCGAATCATTAGACCCTTTCAAGGTTAACGCCGCCATTTTGCCGGGGGCGCAAAACTGCTGGGGCGAATGCAAAATGTACAGTGAATGTATGGGAAAAGTTGATAAAATGATGCTCAATAATTTGAGGAAGGTTGACATCGTGCAATTTCTATGAATTACAAACTAAAGATACCAGACCTACCGGTTTACCGATCAAATTTGAGAAATGAAGTCTAGCGAAAAAAGCCGCAAATTAAGATTTTGATTTTTCATACATTTGTCTCTAAAACCAAGCCGCCGTTTGCGAGAAAATTTAAAAGCATTTGTCTGAAAAACTAAAAATAAGATTTCTCACTTCTCAGCGAGCCTGTTCACATTTAATCGGCAACATCTTTTGCTAGGTATCTTTACTTCGTAATTTATAGAAATTGCAGAATGTCAACCTTCCTCAAATCATCGAGCATCAATCTCCCGACCTTTTGCATACATTCACTGTACATTTTGCGCTCACCCCAGCAGTTTTGCACCCCCGGAAAAATGGCGGCATTAACTTGAAAGGGTCGATTTGAACACATCCAAACCCGAACTGTTGATCTAGGTCATGTGACCCCAAGGTATGAGCCCATGGTGTCTCAAAACCGCAAATATTGTAACGGATGATCCATGTAAGGACCAACAAAGTGAGGTTAAGTTTGTATCGCCAAATTACAACTGAAACAATATGGTCTTTTTCGTATTCAAAGGGTTAAGGAATACTAACCCATGTTATAAGGTTCGTTTAATCAAGCATAAGTTATTACCGCTAAGTTACTGGTTAGAATAGCTTGACTTAGTTTTCTTTTTTAAGTGCCTTCATGGGCTTATAGATTTCACTCGTGAATTTAGTTATTAATTTTCTTTTCTAAAGGGCAACACGCGCCGTGCTTCATCAGGGCTACATTTAAAGTTAAATGTCTGTCGTGCGACTTCCTTTCGAGACTTTTACTTCAACAGAATAACTTTGATGTGGAACAGTTTACCTGAAAATATCGAGAATTCAAACACTTTAAGCTCTTTCAAAAGTAAACTCAAGTCGTTTTATTTTACTAGACTTTTGAATGCTCTTGATGGTGACAATTTTCGTTCTTTCAAATTAATTTGTCCTAAGTGTCGCTGTGTAAATACTTCTTCTGTCTGTACTTGTTAAGTTAAGTTGTAAATTTGTATACTTTAGAATGTTTCTGCGTGATTTAAATTATTTGAATTGTAGTTAATCGGATCGGGGAAGGGATCTTTTTTCGGGATATTTCTTTCCGGGATATATATATTTTTTTACGGGGCTGGGAGTGAGTGTATTAACCAAGTAGGGGACCTATGTCCTATTGTTATGCACCTGTACTTGTACTTGTACGAATCCATAAATAAATAAAATTTCTTCGTTTCTCTAGCCTACTTCGCCAACGATAAGAGAAAAAAAAAAAAAAAAAAACCAACGACAATCCAGAACTAGGATATAGGGATTCTCCCTCTATAACACGTGTAAGTTTTAATTTGAACTGAAAGAACCTAAAGAGCAATTTTCACGTATAACCTAAATTTTTATTATCTCGTATTCTTAGTTTTACAAATCTAATCTTTACTCTTAATACCTTTGGCTTATCGTCATTTCACGCCTAAACGACGACTTAACTGTACAAATACATCTTAAAATATAATATACAACCGATAAACAACATATAAATAAGTTATTATTTTTCTGGAGAGTCGGTCAAGTTGGATATTGTCAGCAATATTCATAGACTTCTTCGAGGGCACATCCCTCATGACAGCACTCCTCCACAATGTCAGTACTGGTGCTTCTTACATGTCTTCCTGCATTTCTTTGGGACCGTTGGAACTGAAGAAAGCTTAAAGCTTCGTTTTCGTCCATTATTGCTGATCCTACGGACATCAGAAATAACGAGAGTTAGCTAAATGGTAATACCCTAGCGTAATAAATTCCTATTTGGGTGTTTTTAATAAATGGTAAGCGATGTTCCAACTTTTAGAAGGGCTGTGCCTGCCCAGTCTTGCGACGTTGTTGTTTTTAAAACTACTTCTTCCATGTTCTTGTTACAATAACAGCAACAAAAGGTGCAAATTAGATTACATGGTATGGCTGGAAAGCTCTGTGATCCATGAACGTGTTTACACGCTTGGTTTATTGATGTTTTCTGGCGGAAGACGATGGACAGCTATTTTGTGGCTTAACGGTCGTTGCATTATTACAAAGTGGTATATAGTTCTACTAGTGTTCAATCAAAAATGCTGCAATCTGATTGGTGGCGCCCCTGTGGTGGATAATGATTAAATTGAGTTGCCTAACAGTTTGCGCTTGCAAACAACATAAAATATTAAAATAACAGCCATCATGCGATAGAAATCTCGAGGTCGTGATCTATCTATTTATTGGAAAAAATCATATTCACTTACTGCGTTTCCTTTTCGATGAACAGCTCGCGAACAGAATCTCATTGATTCGATCCCCGCAAAACTTGTCGAATACTCGGCGATGTCCGACCTCATTTACTTTATACAAGTTTTTAGCTGTGAAAATAAAAGATGAGGACATGGATGAGACATATTTTCTGAACCCAAACCATGACCGACTAGTAAAGAGGCTGCGCAACTGTGTTTAGCAATAATAGAGGACCATGAAACATGCTCACGCAAACTCACAACACAAGAATTGGACTTTTCTTGTCTGCTGCTAAGCGCTCTTATGAATGTGAACATATTTGTAGTTATGGTGAGTAGAGTCAAATGGACGATGGGCTCCTGGCATCAGATATTTTGTTTTCTTTAATGTTAGGTTAGAAGAAAAGTGAACCAAATATAAGTTAAAGTTTTCCGTTCGCGTTCGCTGTGCTAAATCTCGAATGTAGAGCCAAGAAAAATACTATAAAAAGTAACGGAATGGTTGTCGTGAATATAAATAGAACGCCATAAGTATATCAAAATATCCTCTACATAAATACCAACATTTGAACGTCATCCTAGAACTGGGATATTTTTATCTGGATTTATATTCTGAGAGATTATTTTACACTAAAGGACAATCTCTTAAAGTTGGACTTTCTTTTCCACAGGTTTTCGATTTGCCTGTAATTTCCTACAACGGATAAGGAACCTTCAATAAATCTGCCTTCCGAAATATGTATTAATTTGTAGTCTATGAGGAAAAGAGCTGAATTTGCTTAGTTTCAATAGGATCTTGTCAAAAAAAAAAATTCTTTTCAGGTCCAAGAAGAAAGGAAAATGATTGATTGGTACTTAAGTGCACCTTTCGTCTCTTCGTGAAATTTGAATTGTGTCAGATTCAGTTGATTGACCAATAAACCGATCAGTCGATTGATGCCAATTGATTTTGTGATAGCTCAATTTTAACCTAACTAGAAAGGATGTAAAAAGCGATTGGTTACGTCCCGACCAAGGAAACTTAGACAGTTAAAGAGCGATGTTAAGAGAAAAAATAATGAAATCTTTTAAGGTTAACAACGCTGACAAGATTTGATTTTCGTAATATGTCTTTCGCTGGTCGTGAAAAAAGACAACTGCGTTTAGGTATTCCATGCGTCTTTCAAAGGTTGGTGTTCTAACTGCATATACCATCGCTATGATCTTACCTTTTACAACTTCAAGGCAGAAAATGATTGCCACAAGGGCGACTGCTCTCCAAAAACATGAATTCTTCATCTGACAATGTAAAGAAAAGAGAAAATAAATTAATTTCAGTGAAGGCAAATTGCACGACTGATGATGCCAAACACCAAAATGTACAATTGAACGAACTTTGTTGAGAAATGATCTCTCCGCGTTCGGATTGCGAACCCTGCTTTTACCAGAGTTGTTGTTAAACAGTGGAAGTTCCCAACGCCTTAGGATTGTTATGAATAACATGCTAAGCGGATATACGCAGGTTTAAAGGCAACGCATTTGTTCTCTTTATTTCAGCTGTCATGTAAAGTCTACTTTACGCCACCTTAGGCTAATATTAACTTAATTTGAATGACACTGAATCATTAACTTTTCAAAGATTGTGAAAAGAGCTGAAGTGCGCATTGTTAGAAATCCGCCCGCAAGATAAGAGTAGAGTAGCAGGTTGTTTGTTTTGAACAAGAGTTAGAGTGAACGTGTTCGACGGATTGAAATTGGAAAAATGAAAAATGAAGTTAATTTGACAAAACGTAGATGTTGTTTTAAGTATCGCTCTATAAAAAGTTGATATGGCATGCACGCTTTCATAATTTGGTATATCTATTTGTTTTACTCACATATTTACCCTTCATTTGTACAAATAACCATCCTTTTATTCTGAAAATATTTCCGGAACATATCGTGTCAGTTTTTTATTTTTTCCATTCCTACATGTGATGCATAATTGTGTCACGTAGACTTGTTCGCTTTTCTCACGAATTCACGTTAGTGCCCCCTCTCCCATCTTGCGCAATATTATCATTTCCTGCCAATGACCATTAAAAGAAACTTCAATAACTTTTTTACTGAGGTAAGAACGCTTTTCATCCTTTTTTTTTTTTTTGACGATTTTCGACTTCATGTATGTTTTTTTGAAGGCTTTTACCGTGGGTAAATTCACAGTTGCTTTCCATCGCGGGCAAATTTCTTGCGACATTTCATGAAAATTAAACTTTCGTACATTTTAAGAGGAGTCATACTTTAAATTAGATTTTAAAAATTTCGATCAGTGACAAAACGAGAGTGCCTTATCTCCTGCGGGCAGCCGTCGCGTAATTCTTACGTCAGTTGTTATAAAGAGGACCTGAGCGATCGATCAGGAATAAATTTGAAGTGAACCAGGAAGTGTCACTGTCAGGTCATAAATCAATCAGTGGCTCATTCATTCATAGCTACTTCGTTGCCCTGAAAACAGTTGAAATCATTGACGATTTGTAATGACTCAGCCTATGCTGTGATGTAATCAGTGCAGAGGTCTATGAGAGGTTTAGAAAATTTTTTGTTTTACTCGACGGCGAAAACGTTAAATGGCGTGAGGTATCACTATGTTTGAATTTTGCCTAAAGAAAAAATATGAACCAAACTTGAACAAAGTCCAAATTGTTATCATGTTCTCACCCCCTGTGAGATTCATGTTTATCAAAGTTCAAGTTTGTTCATTTGTGCTAGCGAACGTAGCTATATGATCTTCCCCATGCCTTAAGTTTCTTGTTTGAGAAATTAAAGCTCGAACGCGGAAAATCGTAAACCCGAAGGCAACTGTGTTCCTATTGTAGTTTCACTCACAAGAGAAAACGTACAAATGGCCTTTGAAAGCGAGCGACAATGAAAATGCTGACTAAAGAGCGCACAACTTACGTATTTCTACCGATGATTTTAAACATCTTCTAATTTAGAAAGGACTGCCTCGTTTACTTTTCTTCTTGGTTTGGACATCACAAGGCGTGAACTCATTCTCGAATTGTGTTTGATTACCCTACAGCCTGTCAATGCTACAGTGTATTAATATTTTGGCTGAGATTGGAGGAAACTGCTGCTGAACTGATAGGAAAAAGTTGCGGAATCCAGGAAAGCAGCCAATAAGATTTTAAAAAAAAACATTTTCTGCGCATGTGCTGACTGGAGCAACCACTGACCTTGCTCGCTCCTCTTTCTGTAGAAATCTCTATCTGCCACGTCAAACAATTAAACATATACCGCATGCAATTGCTTTGGGTGAAATACGTCTTGCAGGATTTTGTAGTTAAATTACATAGGAATAGAATATGTTATTGTAAGGCTGCTTTAAACCGACTGTTCCAGATTTATTCGGATTAGCTCCATTAAGGGATAACGGAGTACATCAAAGCTTAACCGCTGTGAAAACTAACAGCGCTGCAATCAACTTTAGTTTGAAATAACATTTCGTTGATTGCCGCTTGCTTTTAGCTGTAATCTGGTTGGCTAAATTGCTCACTTTTCTAAGAAGATTTACAGTTAATCCAGCCGCCAAAGAAATATTGAAGGTTTTGTCTGGTATCAGAGTGAATTAAAAATTCCTTAATTGAAAAATTATCCGGCTTAGATGAACTTAGGTGCGTGTTAGGTGAAACGTGGGGTGAAATGTTGAGATGCGGGTAGTGACAAACTCTCTCGCTCTATTTGTAGGACGGTTCTCAGCTAAAAGACGTTAAAGATGTAGGAGAGAAAACGAAGAAAGACATAAACAACTTCAGATTCTGTGTACAGAAAGAACCATGCACAGTGTCATACTATTGTGGAGAGAAGCCTCGAAGCCCTACATTTTCTAATCATGGTTGGCTTTATGTGTTGACTGTGAGAACCCTATTCTCTGTATTTCAACGAGAACATCTGCGGAAATCCGGTGAAGGCGGTTGAAAATGCAAAGAAAATTGGTCGGCTTAAACTAATTGAAAAACTCTCCTATGCAGAAAAAAATGGATTATCTTTTGTTCATTATAAAAAAATAAAATTAGCGAATTGTTTTTAATTACAATTATAACAAGTCATGCTCTTGTAAATTTTTTGCATTAAGTTGATTGGAGAAGACTCTGTTATCTTATTACCAGAAATATTATATCAGACTACATCATTTTTTTCCAGTTTCAAAACCTTGAAATAGATTGCTTCCTGTATTTCGAGTTTGTTCTTGCGATTTAATACAACCTTGTAAAAACCAAGATTCGATGCGCGTTCCTTCTACCATAGATTCCCTGCCGAGCATTAGGCACGTTTTTGCTTCGTTTCTGGTCCGCGTGATTGTGTTTTTCCTTCCCCTGTCACGTGGACTTAGTCCGGGACTCACGATTTTAACGGGTTTTGCTTAATTGCAGACTGGTCGATTTTTATATAATTTTCGGTCAACCACGAACGAGGTAAAAAAACATTGTTTTGGAAACAGTCCTTTGGACTTTCTCGGAAACGGCCGTCAAAATCTAAATAATCCCTCAAATCGTGTGGTCTTCCTCTTTAACCCAGTAAATTACTTGAAATTAGTGTTCTTTCCGCCAAAAATTTTACGAAACGAGCGAAAGTTTCAGGTTTTTTCCTCAGTTGCTCTACTGCAGCTTGCTATAAAAATGTAGACATTTTATAGTGTGTTTGAACTGGAATTCCCATCATCTTATGGCTTATGTTTTCATACCACCGCTCGTCATTTTGTTGTGAAAACGGCTGCTAGACATGGCAGTTAAAGAATTTGATAGTACAGTCTTGAATCACGAGCACAATACCACGTACCTTGAGTATTACTCTTCTAAGCGTGTTGCGAAGCCTTCCTACTATAGCTCTCTGAGTGGTTTGTAGAAGCCTTTTAGTGGCTGTAGTGTTGACGCCGCTAATGTGTGATTAAAACTAGCTAGCCGCAAAGGGGTTTGTCTCTTTTATATCCGCAGCCGAAAAATAAAATAAACTGTGGAAATGCCGTTACTTCCTGTTACGTTTTTTATCGGCGAACTCAAGGTCACATCTGCGCCGCAACGCCGCAGCGTCTGTATTTTTTATTATTGAATTTTAATTATATTTATAAATAGATGAAGACATCATAGAAGACTGGAGATGTTATTTTTCTTCGCTTCATGCGGTCCAAAACAAGACCTACCACAAACTGCATTCCTGCGAAATTACAATCCAGGACATTCCAGAAGTATGTCAGTGTGAAGTATGTCACGTCAGTGGCAACTGTAAACTTAGAGTATGACTTCACAACACGAATACTCTCACAAAAAAGCAAATGAATTAAAACCAACATCGATAGCTGAAAAGTAACAGACCATCTACTCATTAATGTTATCTTATCAATGCACTTCTGGCCAAGACAAAATCGATTCATGGTCTTTAAAATATTGTTGTTCGGTTTGTGGCATTCCTGGCATTACGATACTACAACGTCACGCCACGTCACTGTGTCACTGTCACGTAGTGTAGCTAATGAGTGAAACCAGCCATTAACCGGCTTAAGCTGGCTGTGTTTACAAATGGGATTAGCCCAAAGCACTGAGTAAATTGTGTTTGCAAGAATTTGACTTTGAGGATTTTCTTCATCATTCTAAGCAGGGGCGGCGTTTATCATATATATTTTTACCTTGATTTTGCGGAATATTGCTATAACGTCCCAACAAACTTGTGAACCGAGGAATAGTTTTGGAGTAAATTTGCACCTAGATATTGAAGCGAATATTTAACTTGATTTTTTATGAAAAGTATTTCAAGCAGATCTTAATTAATAGTCTTAATTATTTTTTGTCATTGAGAAACGACTGTTTAGAGCAATCAACAGCATTTGGAATGCCAATTTTATCGCACTTTCAGTTCAAATTGTTTTGGCACAAAATTGGCAATTCAAGCGAAACTAATCAACTTGTTAGCTGATATGAATCACCGGATCAGTCATTTATTCTTTGCGCTGGATAATTAGTTATTTTTGTATCACTTCTATTCCATCAGCTGGTTGTGTAACACGCGTTCCCGCGTGAACCCCCTGCAATATTTTGCGGGAAAACTGATGAAAGTTGCTAGTATGTGAGGGTATTTAGTGGGTGTTTCGTGTGATCTGGTAGTGTAAAGCAGATCAGAGGGCTCGTTCTCGGAAGTGTAATAATTCACGATTCTGTCTTTTTGCTACTGATCACAAGACTATGCTGACAGCCGTCTTCCTCTTTCTTCGGATGTTGCTCCACCTTGTCCATTTATTAATATCAGATCTTAACATTTTCAATGAAAAATAAAGGGAAGACATAGTTGGGAAAACTACGACCGTTGCTGTTTCAAGAAAATTGTGGTTGCTGAGGGAGATATTGCGACTTTATGGTTTAAAGTTTGTCTTTGTGCCAGTTGTCGTCACTAAGTTTGGTAAATTAAGGGCCGCATCATGAAATGATGTTTCTGACCGAGTCTGTTTGCGGTCAGCCTCAGTAAATATTGAAAACAATCCTTAATTTCCGTTAATCCTTAAAAATATGAGAGGAAGTCGATG